CCACTAGAAGGTGGAAATGTGTCAAGAAAGTCGACACCAATAATTGCTTGAGTTACATCCGCAATAATAAAAGGCCAGTTGAAAGTCCGGCGCAAGTTTAAATCAAGTGTCAATAGTTTGGTGCCGTTAAGGTTGCAATTTGGGTACCATTGGCTGCATACAGTACAAGTTTATTAAGTTGGTGAGCATTTGTTTTAGTTCTCGGGAGCACTGATATGTCAGCTCCAGTATCTACTAGAAAACATAACTGAGTTGAACGATCAGCCAGTACTATTCTGTGGATGCGGCGGACATTCTGTTGGCCAGCAGAAGACCGCCCATTTAGTTTCCCGCTTGTTCAAAAGTGCATGGAGGGGCACACTTGCGAGCTTGAGCTCCAAAATTCATATGATAAAAACATATGTCACTTGTGGGTTCTTTGTACTGCGTTCGAGTATTGTGACGAGATTGACTCCTGCTTCGGGCACGAAATTTATTACGTGGGCCCTGATTTGATCGATTGTATCTCCGTGAAGCATAAAGACTTGTAGAAAGTTCAGATACTTTTTTGGTCAATTCAGCCACTTGTTGTTCGAGGGATGAACTGGAAGGTGCAGCATTAGCAGCACTGACATAAGCTGAAGTAACAAGTTCATTAATTTTGTCAGCCATTGCTGCTAAACGGGTTAGATCTTCATTGGAAGCAGCAAGAATTATTTGTATGTTATTAGGGAGACGCGCAAGCCATAGTGACTTCAACAAGTCGTCATTAAAATGGCTTCCTGCCAGATCACGCATTCGTGACAGTAAGTATGAAGGTCGCTGATCTCCAAGTTCAAGTCCTTGTAGTAAAGTACGTATTTTTGAAGATTCACTTTCTGAATAGATTTCAATGAGCCGCTGTTTCAGTTTGGAGTATTTATCACAATCAGGTGGTTTGAGAATTAAGTCATGCACTGAATTCAGTATATCAGACTCAATTGCTGAAACTACATGGTTGAATTTTGTAGAATCCTCACTAATGCGAGCGATAGAAAATTGTGCTTCGATCTGAGCGAACCACAATGAAGGATTGTTTTTCCAGAAAGACGGTGGCTTCACCGCAACGCGTGTGATTTGTGGCTCTGGTGAAATATCGTCGGGCATACTGATAGATAATTTTCACTTTAATTAATAAACACTTAACAACACAAATATTGTAGCATGAGGATACACTATTGATATTTTACCATGATAACAATTAATATTTTAACCATGCAGAAAACATTTACGTAACGATACACACACAAATAATACAGGGTCAGCAATTACACACACAAATAATATTTTACCGAAATGCATTTGAAAAGAAAACCCTTATTTGAGAAAAAAAATGATGCGTTCATTTTGTATTGCACACGCACACAAAAACAAAATCACTGTTGAGGCATATTCGAAGAAAAAAACACTTCTGTAAAGGCACTTTCAAACGAAATTCATTACTGGAAATCACTCCTGTAGCACATGGGAAAAAATATCACTACTTTCGAACACTGAGGGAAGAATTTTGCCGTAGCACGTTGCAGAAAAATTACTGATGTAGCACATTTAGCGAAAATCACCATTGTATCACACTTGTCACAAAAGTTGAATGATCGAAGAATTATTGCACGACTGGCGAAGTCCAGCGGAACGGAACAGATCACATTGATGATTTGCTGAAGCTCCTCGCGATGATATGCACGACTTTGAAAAAAAACACAAGCAATATGTACATCAATTACTTCTAGAAATAATTGAAGGGGTACGTTGTAGCATACGTTTAATGTCCATATTCGTTGTTATTTTTAGTCAGTTCTTCAGAATGCCTTGCAGATGCACGTGGCTTAGGGTCGTTGAAAATCCATTGTCAGTAGCGTGCTCAGTCAAAAAGGTCACCACTTTTGGTGGTTGTGTGCTTAATGCATGATATAATTTTAAAGGAAACAAGAGTAGATAATCTCAACTATAACAAAAGAATATATTAAGTACTAAAATTACAATTTTAAATTACATTGCAGAGATCAACACAGAGCTCGGAACACAGTTCATGCTACCGTCGCGTACAGGTTGTTTTGCGAGAAGTCTGAGTGAGTAATGACGTCGCTTTGCTGCTCCGATTAAGAATTGGATTTTACACGTGGCGCCATCTCATGAATAGAAGTTGAAGTATCTGTCGGAACGCCACATTGCATATCTTTTAAAGACAAAAAAAATATTAATCATAAAATTCCTGTTAACAAATAGTTTACAAACATGTAACCTTTTAGAAAGTTTCCATTTGGCATAAGATCATAACTGAAATTATGCTTACGTTTCTCCACATACCTGAAGCTTTGGAAAGGCCATTTGTTTTGCGTTTAAAAACATATCTATTAACTCTTCCCATTTCTGTTTTCTATGCTCTTTACTAAATGTGCTATTCAGTTTACCGCTTAACAGCAGCGGAATTTTTCGAAAAAATTCACTATTTACTCGAACAAGTTGATAATTTTTTTTTTTTTTTTTTTTTTTTTTTGCTACCGCCAACCTTAGCAAGTGCGAAACAGTACTTTTGACAACAAACTATCTCCTTACCCTGAGCCTCGAGCAATTTAGAGGTAAGACAGACTGGTTTGCTGTGCAATAAACGCCACTTCCGGACGGAATTTCCACTTCATTTTCTGTGGACGGAATTTGAAGTGGTCAGACTCGCTCTCCTGTCTGCTGTCGAGTGGAAAGAGAATCCCGACTGGTTTTCCGATATTGATCTCGACCGGTGTCCAGACTAGACCCCCAAAGTTTGGTTGAGTAGTATAATTTGGGGGCCACAGAGATTGCACTGGGCGGCAAAATGCTTAGGGCCGAGCCTGACTATAATTATGTATCTTTGTATTTACGTATTGTAAATAGTATATATATATATATATATATATATATATAACATTCATGATCAAGACATAGCACCTGCTCATTTTAACTCCTATTTTCTATTTCTTTTTAATGTTTATATGGCACCAAAGAAGAGTGCAATTTCTGATTATCTTCTTGCATAAATCGGTTCACTTTCTAAAGTTACTGACAAAATTCTACTTTTCCACATCCAAAGAATTCATCCTTCCATGAATTTTCTCCCAGAAGAACAATTCGATTTTCGCAGTCATCATAACACTTGCCACCAACTTATCAACTTATATCTTAGAGTTATCTACATTATCATTGAAGGCTACAACTGCAAGCTTCCGACCGGTGCCATATTCCTCGATATCGCGAAAGCTATTGATAGGGTATGGCATAGCGGTCTTATTTACAAATTAATCACTCTAAATTTTCCAGATTATTTTATTCGCTTAATAGCCTCTTTTCTCAACAACAGAACATTCAGAATCAAAATTGGTAATGCTTACTCAAGCACTAGAGTAATTAAAGCTGGTGTCCCACAGGGGTCGGTACTTTCGCCACATCTTTTTAATATATATATATATATATATACGCAAGACATCCCTAAGACCCTTCTGTTCATCTTGCACTCTTTGCCGATGACACCGCTATACTTACTAAAGCCTACACAGCAATCGCCGTAAGAAGCCAACTCCAAAACTATCTCATAAAACTGAAAAAATGGCTTACCCTTTGAAAGAATAAAATTGACACTGATAAAACCAAGGCAATAATTTTCCGTAAGGAAAACATGAAATACTGTCCTCCAGCCTCTGAAATATTTGACGAAGAAATAGACTGGATTAAGGAAACCGAATACCTTGGAGTCACCCTAGATCAAAAACTTACATTTAGAACCCATTTTCGCTCCGTAGCACAAAAATTTAAAATCACCTAAGCTACTATGCGACCTCTTCTTGGTAGAAGAAGCAACTTATCTACTACAAACAAATTAATTTTATATCGCTCCATACTTCGTCCAGCCCGCCTTTATGCAGCTCCGATCTGGGGACATGCAGCTAAATCCAATATTAAACAATTACAAATTCTGCAAAATAAAATTCTACGAGAAATTATCAAATGCTTCTTGGTACATTCCAAACACTTACATTCACAGAGACTTTCAAATCGACGATATTCAAGAGTATATTAAACATTTAGCGGTCAACTTCTTTCATTCAGTACAAACCCACAGTAATAACCTTATTAGCACTCTCAGAAACTTCCCGAATCCAGTTGAAAAACATCGGTACCATGTGACATCCTACCCACATAAGAATTACAACTTTAATTGACTCATTGACACTAAATTGATTCTGCGGTCTGTCATCCGCTGCTACATCTTGTAACTACACTGACCTCACCGTGACCTTCGAGAGGGAGATCTCCTCTCGAAGGGGCCCACCAGCGGTCGAGCGGTAAAGTCGCTGAAAACTGGTAGTTGTTCAGTCCGAGGTTCGAATCCCGCGAACGGGCTGGCTGCATGTGTGTTTTCGTGGTTTTCCCCGTGTGTAACGTGTATACGAGCCAGTTTCCCTTAAAAAGTCCTCCACGAAGGCATCCCTCTTTTAAGGCAGATAGCCCTCGAGTGCTTTGCCGTAATCTAATAAACCAAACCAAAACCGAGCCTCTCGAAGGTCACGACCTCACCCCCCCCATTCGCCGCAGCTATCGCGGACCTGACTTTCTTTCTCCCCCACACACCTCCTACTACACTATTCTTCTTTCTTTTTCTTCCAGATTGTTATCAGAAGCCGAGTAAAATGTTGTTTCTACATCTTGATTCTCGAGAAAAAATACGATCTGTGTATAAATCGGTTCATGAGACAATGGTCTTCTCGTCTGTAGCTACCTCTTCCTCTTCCTCCATTCTTGGGAAATTTCATTTCACTTTATCACACGTACAAATGCAGCCGACATCATTCCAATCCATCTAAACATATTTATTTGACTCTGGGGCCAGGGTTTATTCCATCTGTAAACGAACATTGCAGGCAAATACAAATAAAACAATTTTCTTCACACCAATTCGTTTCTCAAGTTTATAATGATTAAGTTCGTTGGCATAGCACAGGTCTGTTGCTTATTGCCGCCGCATTAATTATTTGTTCTAAGTTTCAAATCAGTTTAATTTGGTAAAATCTTATCTATAGTGTTGTGTTGTCACTGTGTTTTAATTCAAGATGATATAAATTACCTTTAAAAACTAATAACATATTCTATCACCTTTTTTGTTTTCTCTTAAAATGTGAAGGAAGTAAATACAACTTCGTTCGAAGACCTATGAACAAACCATTCTTACCCGCCATTTGTTGACGGGATTTGAACAAACGAATCTTACCAATGTCGCCAAACAATTTGGTAGTTGTATTGATTACAGAAGATGGATATAAAGTATTTAATTTTGTTTCAGTATTTACTTACGTATAGATGTTTTGAACCTCACGTCTAAGAACTTAGTACGTTAAATGCTTTACTATTTCAAAAAACAACTTTTGGGGGTTATTAATTCTTGTATTGAGTAAAAGGATTGTTAACTTCACTTTTTTCCTTTATGAATTTTAAAAATTGGGGAATATGGAAAATAGTCTTTATTTATAATAGTAAACATAACAGGTGAAATTAATTGAAAGCAATACTAGCAATTATATCTAATCTTGTAGCTGCAATACTGTATTTGTTTTCGAATTATTTTAATTTTACAAGAAATTTAAACTGCAGCTTATGATTACAGATTATATATGGGCTTTTTGTGCAGCTTAAATTCTAAAATTTTTACGATTATTTAAGCTGCACTCAATATTTCCAAGTCAAGGATGAAGTTTACATTCTGTCATCAGAAAAATTTATAGTAATAGTCACGGTATAGCGTATACAACGTACGTAATGCCATCATAATAATCTCTGAAAAATGTATTCTTGCAATTTTTCCTCGTAATGTGCAATAAACTGAGTGCATATGAAAATGTTTGTTAAGAAAAAAATATGGAACTGTTTTATATAAAACTGCCTTGTGTTTTGGTTATGATGTGTGTGTAAGTGATGTATTATGTCATCAACTCATCTTGATGGGGAAATTTTCTGGTGGTTAGAATTATTGAACTGTGAGGTTTTTCTCTGTCAAGTTTTGACTGTGAACTGTACCTTTTTTTTTTTTTTTTTTTGAAAAATCCATTTTAGTGGCTTTTATTTGAGCCACTGTTATTTTATTAAAAATGGTTTGAAAGCATTGCATGTAACTAATCTTTTGAGAGGTCAGATTCTTAACTTGGTGGATTGACTACATGAATATTTTTATGATTTTGTTCATAGAGTTGCATTTAGCATTACATTTGCAAGAAAGTTTTGTTAGGAATAAGATTTTTGAATTCTTTCTTTAATAACTCAAATGATAGCCTTTTGGAATTTATGTAGAAATTCTTCAGTAGATTCAATAAGTCTGATCAGATTGATGGGTATGCTTAATGTCTAATCAACAACTCCACGGAAAGTTATTAAAATGTATTTAGTTAGAAAAACAGATTAAGAAAGTGCATAATTTATTTAAATGCATGCTAGTATTGTGGTATACCTACAGGATTTGTGTATAACAGTAGAGGTACACAAAATAGTTTCATTTATATAAATACAGTTGTGTATGATCTCAGTGGTTAGTGTCTTAGTTTACTTACATAACACATATTATGTATATTGACTATTCTAGATTTTATGTTCTCCTCCCCCTGAATTCATATTCCAAATTCGAGATTTTTCCATGCTACATAACAACCTAAAATTAACCAATAGGAGCTTAGATATACTTATGCATCTACTCGGCATAAATACTGGTTTTCAAACAAACTACCTCTTTGGCTTGTTATCTAAGATGCCTACGTCATACCTTTAAAAACCAATATAAACTATTGTATTTAACTATGATTGGATAAATGCCTTGTCTACAAAAAGTGAGCTGATACAAATTATCATGGAATAAAGTTGTGTTTAGAAATGGCCTCTGGAAGTTACTGGTTTTTGCATCTTATCTCTCTCAACAGCACACCTAAAATTTTACATATATATATTATTGAAATTAAATACTTAAATTCATAATTAAGTATATTAAACCATCTGAGGAAGATGCTATAACTGTATTAACAAACCAATTGCATTTTAAAATAATGAATCAAATTTAAAGACGATCCCTTACTATTTTCGAAAAAAAATTTCTTATAAAGGCGATATACCAACTGTATTAGAATTTATAACACATTCTTGATATTTTCATGTTCCAGACCAACTTCTCAAAGGGTAATAATCTGAAACATCAAAACTTGAATATAAAGGAAATTTAGGCAAATTTTCCATGAACGGTCCTTGGCTAAAATTGCCAATTTTTTGCTGCCATCTTGGATTTCACACAACTTTAAAATTTTACACCTTTTACCTCAGATAGGATAATCAGGATTCCTTTCCTAATGTACTCAAACTTATATATATATAAATTTTAAAAATATTAAATTTATAATGGTTTATAGAATTTACAAACAATTTTATTTTTGCTAACTACTTGCACCAGGATGAATATATATTGAGTTTAAATATTTTTAAATTTTAATATTACCATCAGTTATTGCAGCTTACAACACATAGCTGGATATTGGCTTAGTTCTTCTTCATATGCATGCTATGTATATATATAAACATACTAATATGTAAAAAAGTTGATGTCTTGTAGATGCATAATAGAATCATGAAGCTTGCAGTCATAGCTGGATTAGAATATTTCTTTCATTTCTCGTTAGCCACATATTTTTCATGGGTAGCATTGCAAAATTAAAATACAATTTTGATGAGAGCAGAAGCAGCAAGATTGTCAGCAAGAGAAACATAAGCCAAAAAAAAAAAAAAAAAAAAAAAAAAAAAAAGTGACGTGTTTCAAGATGGATGCCTATTTGAGAAGCAAAAAGATTTTGGTTGGCTATTAAAAGTTTCAGTATTAGTTGTTTGATTTTCAGTTTGCAAATTATCTGTGTTATTAGTGTTATGAAAAGGGTGGAGAGGAGAAATATCCAAATTAGAGCAAAGGATTAAAGGACTGTATTAACATGCTGACGCCGGCCTGTCTGTGGGTGGCATGATCGTGGGGCAAACTAAATATATAAGAAATCAACCAATTGTCACCAATCCAAAAGAATTCTTGGAAATGACACATATGTGAAATACAAAAGTGTAAAATAAATAGGAAGAAGAATGCAATCAAAATCTGATTCAACGTTATCAAGAGAAGGTAGATCATATTCAATTGAATTCCCCCCCCCCAGGAAAGTCACTGCATTTTTGTTAATCCAAAATTAGCAGATGAACCATTTTAAATTATTTAATGATAACAGTTAACCCAAATATTCTGGATGGCTCCTTGGCGCAGAGGAATTCTGAAAACCAAGCAAAAATATGTAAAAACAAATCCATATGTAATAAATGCAATATCAAATTAAGTAAAATAAAAATAATGAGACACATTTTACCGAAATTAAAACTCGAATTAAAATTTAATAATACAAAATGTTTTCACTTATCTAGTTTTTGGGTATTCTGGTTTGGGGATAATTGGTTGATTTTTTTTACATATTTAATAGGGAATTTTGGATTTTACTGGTATTGAATTTCATTTCTTTCTGGTCTCTGTGAATTTAAGAAATTTAATTCAATTTGATTTAAGATTTTTGCAACTACAGTAGACAAAACATATTCACTTAATTATTATTATTTGAATGAAAATATGATTGCTCCATTTGAAAAGTCAGTCAGTTTTTACCGTTTAACCTTCCAGCACGCCCGTATGTGCAAAATTTACGATTCAGTTTTTAATGCACATTTTTCGCATATGGAAGCTGAGACGTCTGAAGGTCATTTCTATTCCTCCTTTCTACCCTTCCCCACATCATGGAATGTGCCAACATGAAGTCATTTTAGTTTTATATATATATATATATATATATATATACTGGGCTTTTGTGCTATGTGACAGCTTTTTCCATAAAATTTACGACACGCGAGTGGTCGTGTTTTAAAATTCGGAAAATATTTTTTCCCTCAAATATTTTGTAATTTTCTGTTATTAATTGCAGTGTATTATTTTAATTTGAATACATTTAATATCGTGTCTGTAAATTTTATATCGGTTTTCATGGCAAAAAGATATGTGCAACTATCTGAAGTTTGCTCGGATTCTTCAAGGAATTATCTGATGAAGTAAAGGAAGACAAAGGAAACCTTCGGTATGGGAGAATAATCGCGACTTCCATTCCTTATTTTCTTTCGATGCCTTATTTTCTTTATATTTCTATTTTTTAGGAAATAAATAAAAACATTAAGTTAGTTTAAAGCGTTTTTGTTACCAGTAAGAAGTCAATTTCCTTGCAGAAGTAAGTAATGCTAAACTTACTTCTTTTCCAAGGTGTTTTCCTTTTTTATTGTCTATACTTGTTTTAATGATATTAAAATTATCTTGATTTTAAGTATAATTATTAAATAATAAATTTAAAATTTTCTATAATGAAATACTCATTGCATTTCCATCTCACTTACATAAGAACTTAAAAATAATTTACTCATATTTAAATGTGATATCATTTATATTTTACAATAAGATTAATATTTTATTTCTTAACAAATTTATTATCAATATTCTGTCATTTTTCGTGCCAAAAAACGGTAAAATAACGGATGTCGTAAAAATACGACGTGCGCATGCTGATGTAAAATTGCCAAGCGTGCTTGCTGGAAGATTAATGTGATTTTAACATTTTGGACGTGTTCTTTTCCTGTGTTAATGCATTTAGCAAATATTTAAAAAATTTTGTTTCACTAACATTTAAGATTACAATTTTTCTTTCTCTTACTTGGAGATAATTTAATTATTTTTCTTATTTATATAAATATATGTACAAGATATAAAATATGGAAGGAAATTATTAACAAAATTACTAACTTTAGCAGCAATCTTTTTAGTACCTGTTTTTAGTTTGTTATGACCACGTCCTGCTTTTGAATCTAAAGTGTGTCATCTGAAAATTAATATGGTTCATGTCATTTATATAATCAAGCTGCTCTGTAACAGCTCTCACTTAGATAGTCAGATTAAAGAAATGATTTACTATGTGATATAACAGCACTTTGCTGTTACGTAGCCCTTTTTTCTACTTTGCTCTTTCCATGTTATGCTTAATCTCTGCTATCTGTTGTTCATTTGTGTAAAAATTGCAATATGTATAAAATTGTGGCATGCATAGCCATAATGTGTAATAAAAAAGAGTATTTGTCCTAAGAATTAATTATCAAGGAATAAAATTGTGTGTGGATTTCTGACTATGCAGTAAAGCTTCTCCAAGTATAATCCAATGCAAAGAACCGTCACCAATCTATTACAGCTATTCTCCAAATCATCCCATTATATATATCTTTATTATTCTGTACATAC